AAACATATATCCTAAGATAGCTTCACTAAGATCTTCCTGCAATAGCCTCTGAGAACTTGGAGGACATGCGTATGTGACACACCCCCTGTTCAGGGAAGGCACCTGTCAGTGTAAGAGTAGGACCAAATAGAAGACTGTAGTGGTCTGGATGGGCTTAGCATCATATTTGAACTGCACTTTTCATCCTAACTCTCTATTAGTCTAAATCATGTCAGTAGGGAGATAAAAGATACTTAAGCAATCTAGGTCTTTGGTTAACTTCCTCTGTCCCCCTCATACACACATTCCCCCCCACCCCATTCTCCAGCCATGATTTAGTCTCCTTCTTCATCAGCTACATATGTTTTTATTTGGAGTTTCCTGTGGCAGAGTAGCCTGTCCCAGACTCAGCTGTGGTACCCCTAATGCCCCCCGAACTGCTTCTGTACTCTGTCTTTTTACCACCATTTGGACTTTGTGATGAGGGCAAGACACCCCAGCACTGGTGGCTTTGGGAATTAGACTCAACACTTTCTTGTGTCAGGGAAGTAAATTCCTCTTTCTGCTAGGGTCACATAGAAAATGTTTAACTAAAGGCTACAAAAGGCAGGAAAATAATAAAAGACAAAAATAGGAAAAGCACAAAAAACAGGAAACAGTAACAGCTATGACAGATCTTAACACAGCATAACAAGAGTCTCTGTGGATGCCAACGGTCTATGTGGTCTATTTTGGTTAACCCAGCATAGTGGTTTTTGCTATTGGGTGTAATTTATTTTATTTATTTTGACGTTTTTCCCCCTGTGAAGGGCTGTGTGGTAAATATTCTTGGCCATATGACTTGGTAATAACTTCTCATCTCTGTCTTAGCATAAAGAGAGTGCAGCTATTGAGGGTCACTAGATTCTAGTATAACTTCCCCAAAATATGGCCACAGAGATTTGACTTACACAGGTTGTAGTTTTCTGAACCCTGTACTGGATGACAATGGCTTAATCTGGGACCCTAGTGTTATTATTGCCAAAGATATAGTAACTTAGTTGTTTCATTTTGTGATAGCTTGATGTCCTGTGGACATTCCTGGCCTTGTTCCTTCTTCATCAGTGGTCTTTTGCTGTGAGCATTGAAGTGAGAAAACTGTGCTGCTCTTGGGAGACCAGACTAATTCTGTCCTGGGTTCAGGCTCCATCTTAGAGAACCAGACCTAAGGTTAAACTAGAGTTATCCAACAAGCCTGCACCTAGCACTAGTTTACAAGTCACTTGACAACCACCAAGGAGGAGGAAAGCAGAAGTGAAGTCTAGCGTTTGGCTCCCAGCACCAGCCAATTATGCTAAAGAGCATTAAGAGCCCCCCTTCCCCCCAGCCCTCTAGTCAGATCTGTGCTAAGCTGAAAACCCCATTGCTTGTTTGCTTGCCTCTATAAATGCTTGCTTGAAACTGGGCTTGGGGCTTCACCCTTTGGTCCTGTTGAGTGAGTATTGGTGGTGAGCCCAAACTCAAGCTTGAGAAAAGAGGCCCTAGTACAATTGCATCGGAATCAGCTCTTTGGTGGTCTTTTGGGGATCACGAACACTTTGAATGGACACAACCCTCTCTGTCACTGAATCTCCTGTGTTCTCAAAAGAAATCTTTGTGCAAGAGTTTAGTTATAGCTGTTAGACAACATGCTCTACATCTACTTTATATTCCCAGATTCCAGTTTTGGAGAGTGTCATGTAAGGACCCCCGAAGAGGACCCCCAACTCAAGTCCCGATCAGCACGTGCCCAAGGAGACACGAGAGACCTACTTGTTGCAAATTGCAAGAGGCAGTTTACTGTCGAGGGCCCTCGGATGGAAATGCATCCCATGCAGGGGAGAGAATCAATCCAGACCCCCGAGGGCTCAGAGCTTTTATAGGGAACAGTGCAAGGGGGGAAGGGGAAAGCGGGAAATTCTGGCGCGGTTACATATAATTGGATATTTCAAACATCAGCACTTTTGCATAAGCAATCATTTTGGCGGGTAGGATGACTTGCTATTTTTGATCATGAAACCACAGACCTCCAAGAAGGGGAGAAAAACACCAGGTGACCCATTTCTCACTAGGGCATGTTTAGGTTTGTCAGGGCATGTCGTCCTTGGCTGTCTCTATATTTTTTGGTCACTCTGTCCCTGGAGGGGCCTGATATTTTTATTATGGCTATTCTCAACAAGTTGTTGGTGGTCTTTGCTGAGTTGTTTTTAATTTTGATTCCCACAGTCACACCTCTGAGGACCTGTGGTCCAATATTGGGCCTTTTCAAACACAGAGGTGGAGCTATCACTCTCTTGCTACCAAGCACTCTTGAGTTGAATGCAAACTTTCAGGTCTCTTTTCTTGTCTACAGATTGCGGGTCTGCTCACCTACTTTGCTCTTAGGAACCCCTTGTAGATAACTGTGAGTGTTATGAGGTATACATTGAATGCCTTGAGGTGATTAACACTAGTCCAGAGGCTGGGAAGATGACCCAGCAGCTAAAGGCATTCGCTGCCAACTCTGATGCCTGAGATCCACATGGTAGATAGCAAGAACAAACGCCTGCAAGTTGTCTGTTTTTGGTCTCCACACATGCACTGTGGGCACATGCACATGTCTGTACATACATAGGTGCACACCCACCTTACTAAAGAAATTTAATAAAAAAGTTCAGATATCCATTTCTATCTTAGGAACACACACAGTTTCTGGGGTAGTTCTTAGGGCATTTAAACAGATAATTTAAATCTGTATATGTTTGGCACATGTAGGGTTATTTTAGGTTTGAGATTTTTAGCCTTTCCCAGACCCACTTGCACATTTTATGACAGTTATGTTTATTGTCCTCTCTACTATATTGAAATGAAATTATATAGGTAATTCTACCTAAATTTGTATATCTATTATTAAATACTTTAGTTGTTTTTTTTGTTTTTGTTTTTGTTTTTGTTTTTTTTGAGACAGGGTTTCTCTGTGTAGCCCTGGCTGTCCTGGAACTTGCTCTATAGACCAGACTGGCTTCAAATTCAGAGATCTGCCTGCCTCTGCCTCCTGAATGCCAGGATTTAGGGTGTGCAGTTGACTACACCTAGCTGAAATTCGTATGTTTATAAGGAAAAAGAAAATAAAGACTAACAAAATTAATGTGTCTTGTTATGTAAATAGTTAGACATTACTGGACTGGAAGACATAATTAGTTATATACTGACGCAAACACTCAGAGGCACTCTGAGAAGGAAGAGCAGGTGTATGAGGGAATGTCTGCTGGATTGGCAATGCTGATAGAACAGGAGCTCTGGCCTTAGTGGATCCAGCCTTATAAAACATGGACTAGCTTTAGAAAACTTCTCAAAGTCTTCCCTTGATTCGACAATGACAAAATTCAATGCTGTTAGGACTGTGTAAAAACAAGCAAACCAAGGTTTAGTTCTAGGCTGAGCCATTCGAAACACATTTTTACCTTCACAGCATATCTCGAAGGAGATAAGAAACTTGTGTTGCCTTTGGGATTAGTTTTTCTCTTGTGGAAGTGTCCTCCATGGGGGGTCTCGATTCTTGTTTTTGGCTAATTAAGTGTCTGTCATGCACTGCAATATCACAGCAAACAGAAAGAACAGTTTCCAGGGCAACCTTCCTTCATCAGTGGTACTGTCCTCATTGAGGACTCCTCATGTAATTACTTTGTAACAGTTATGAATACCGTCCTAGTCACAGAGACTTGTGGTTTCTGAAGTTATTTTTCAAGTCCGGAATGCCCTGACACATGGGATTCTATTGCAGACTTTGATTTCCCTTTTTTATCTGAACCCCGAATCTCCTGTTGTGTTTGCACAGCACAACCTGTTTCTTACATGACTTTCATTGTCTCATGAAGCTCATTATGTAGTCAAGATGGCCTTGAACTCCTAATCTGCCTTCTTCAGCCTTTGAGGGCCTGGGTTATAGGCATATCATGCTGGCCTTCTTTCTTTTTGTTCTTTCCCTCCCCCTCCCCCCTCCCCCTCTCCTTTCCCCTCTCCTTCTCTCTTTGGTGGCAGCAGGCTTGAGCCAGGGTTGCTTCATGCTCAGCTCTTTGCCTACTTCTTTACATGGAACCAGCTTCATCCTGCTGAGACGTGAGTGAGGTGTAAGCATTGGAATGAAGAATGACTAAGAGTGTTAAGCAAAGATTTTCCTAACCCCAGGTTACTAGGGCAGTCTGACACAGGAAGTCTTTTGTAGCAGAAGACTCAGTAGAAGACAATACGAGTTAGATGTATAATTTTTATCTGTGTGGCATCAGATAAATGTCTGAGATGGAGCTGAGGAGACATGTGCTCTGGCTGTCACCCTGTCCTTGGGGTTCACATCCTTCCCTTTAGTCCACTCACTTCTAGCTCTGTGACCTAGCTCCGTGGCTGTTCTCTCCAGCACATCGGAACATTGTCTTCCAAAGTATATACTTTTATGAAAAGGGATCTTTTATAATTAAGCCAGGACATAAGTATGACCTCATACTGTCTTGAACAAACTGGATATTTATGGTTTAGCTCCTTTCTGTGATTCCTTTGAGGGCAATATGTAGCCTTTAAAGTTTTGAACCTGTTAGCCCACCTGGTATATCTGACTTTTTACAGCAAAACTCACAATGCTGGCTTCTCTGTTTTGATTTCCCCTAGCCTCACAATTCACTTTTCTAGCTTTGGGTGATTCTTTCTTTAAAATACTATCATATACGTTACCAAGTATTGAATTTAAGTATTAAGAAAGGCCCACTGGTTCTTACTATAGAGTCTCCCACCTTATAATGACCAGAGGGCAAATGTAAAGGACAATATGAAGCCGAGGTGTCTGTGCCTTTGTGCAGTGGCTGCTTTCTTGACATTCTGGATCGTATGCAGTGTGACAAAATGAATTTTGCATTTTATAGTCTATTTAGGCTGTTGAAAATGAATTAATGTTGATGATTCTCAGTGTTCAAAACTGGTTGGAATGAAAGTTGACTTTCATCTCTGATGCCTTCCCTGCTCTTTCTTCACAGAAAAAGGCCTGGCCAGACCACAGGCGTGAATGCAAATGTCTTAAAAGCTGCAAACCCAGATATCCACCCGACTCCGTGAGACTTCTGGGGAGAGTTATCGTCAAGCTGGTGAGTACACATCATGACAGGTGCCTGAGTTTGATTTGACAAAAGCTGTTGTAGTTCCTGTTCCTATTTAAGGCTGGGACTGCACTCACATTAAGGTGGATGGTGGATTAGCCCAGGCAGTGTGTTAAGATAAGAAACGTTTCTACTAGTCATCGGTTTGATGGCAGTGAGGTGCACAGTCCCTGTCCATAGAGATATTATGATCTCTTTCTTGAATAGAGTCTTGGGGTAACATATTAGCAACCAGTAGAAACTATGTTTCCTTTGTAACTTTTTCCCAGGAATACACTGCATGTATGAGCTATCCTACATTGTCTTTTCAAATGAGGATATAATTAGATAATAATATATTAAATTGACAATTTCTCCTCCTTGTCCTTGTCCTCGTCCTCATCCTCATCCTCCTTTAAAATAGAGCCAGGATTTGTGATTTCTGCAGTCCTGTCTCTGCTACAGCAGAGTCTGGAACCCTTCCCTTAAGAAGCTTCTAGATTGTTCTGCAAGGTCTGTAGCATAAACCCCTCAGATTATTGCAGAGCTATTTGATCTCTTCACTTAGTCATTGACTTTTGAATTTTTATTTTCCTTTTTTCTTCACCTCAAACTTTAATAGAGGCTTTTATAGTGGGAACTTCTTGTAAAGGAGTTTTTTATTTGGAGATAAAACTGCTTAGGTGAAGTCGTAAGTTAGATTTTAAAACTGTTACAAAGCAATTTCAAAAAAGTGCTGTAGACACCTGGAGGAATGACTCAGATGTGGTGGTGCTCACTATCCACCCTGATAATGACCTGAATTCTGTTTCTGGTACCCATCAATAGGAGGAGGGGACTGACTTCTGACTATTGCCCTTTGATCTACACACACACATACACAAATAGATAAATGTTTTAAAAGTTATAAAGAAAAGTGATATATATCACTTTATATATATGATCTTTAAAAAATTTAATTGTAGTTGGGTGTGGTGACTCACACCTTTAATCCCAGCACTCATGAGATAGAAGCAGATGGACCTCTGTGCGATCCAGTCCAGCCTGGTCTACAGAGTATTTTCCAGGACAGCCAGAGCTACATAGTGATGTAGTGGTATATCATGTCTCAAAATAAGCAATCAAACAAAAAATTTCATCAAAATATCCAAGTGTAGGCAAAGCTGCATAATTATATATTGGGGCACTTACCTTGTTTTTCTCCTTTTTCTTCACAGATGGATGAAAAACCCTCAGAGTCAGAGAAACTTTATTCATTTTATGATCTGGAGTCCAGTAAGTGATTACTCATTAGTATCTTAAAATTAATTCTATCAGTTATCTACTGAACTTCCCGCCCCATTTTCTCTCATCTTTCTAGAGGTCCAGTCTAGGGCAGCCATTCTCAACCTGTGGATTGTGACCTTTGGAAAACACTTGTTTCCAATGCTCTTAGGAACTGAGACACCACTCAGTAGCATAGGTACAGTTATGAAGTAGCAATGAAAATACTTTTATGGCTTGGGGCAGTGGTCACTACAACATGAGGGACTGTGTTAAGAGTCACAGAATTAGGAAGGTTGAGAACCACTGGGCTAGGACCTCACTCATGGTGAACACACTCTTCTCCACTGGCTGCCTTCACAAACTGCTTTGAAATACAACTTTGCTTTTCTGTGTTTATTACATGAAAGAAGCCTAAAGAAAGTTTTTGTTTTTATAAACAGCTAACACATGATTTTGTTTAGAAGATTCTAAGGTACATACAGTTTTGTGAAGATCTACAACAGACAGAATAGTGTAATTGAACACATGGAGCCATCTTCATAGGGAAACTATTGTCAAGAATTAACAAATTTGAGAGAACGTTAGTTTTTTTAGTTTTTTCATATCTTTATTGTAAGCACTATACAATTTTTTCATGAATAAGTGAAACTCTGCATTGACAGTAGGAAGTTCAGGCCCTTAAATGACAGCAGATGAGCCCTTGCTTTATTCGTAGACACACTGAGCAGGAACCATCAGCCAAGCAGTCCCTTATCTAGTCTCTGGCTGGATTGTGCTTATCCAAGTGAGGCTGATTTGAACACTTAATGATCACTTCGAGAATGCTCCAGCTAGAAGGACTCCTATGTCAGGAGGTCTTACTCCAGTAACGGTCACTCCTGCACTGGCCTGAGAAGGCAGTATTCTGAGCCAAGCCTTGGTGAACTTTAGAAGAACCTGCAGCTGTTGTCATTCAAGATGGGAGTGGGAACACGGCTCCATGAACTCAGAAAAAGGTGTTTGGTTGATTAAGCCAAAACCGGTTTTTTGATTGGCACAAATGCCATCCATCCTTCATTTGCATACTATACTTTTTCTGTTTCTGGCTCAATCAGCAGCAGGCTGGGCACCTGCTTTTCAAGTCAGCCAGAAGACTCCTTCCTGTGCCAACTCTGGTGATTTTTAACATTTAGGCCAATTAAAAGCGTCCCCCAGATGGACTTCTCTTGCCTACCTGTGATTTTTATCATGGGTAGAATGGGTGAACTAGTAACACAAGGGAGAGGTGTGGTGGCTGTGGAATAGCACCCCGGAAAGGATAGCTGACTGGCTCAGGGCAGAGAGTAAAACCAGGGTAATTGTTGAAGAAGCCAAGACTTCAGAAGGCAGTGGGCAAGCGACTAGAAGAAGAGTTGGTCTCTGGAAGAGTTCCTGGTGAGTTGTCACACCTTGAAAATAGAAGGTTCCTGTATCTACTGTGCTTGAGCGTTATAATGCTGACATGAGGTCCTGATACTTGGGAACTGTCATACCTAGCTGACGCTGACTGCCGACAGCCGCTGTTGTGTAGAGATGCTGCATAGAGCCAAGGATTTTACTAGCCATCTCGTGTTGGTTTGGCAGCACTGGAGTCAGGGATGTATCCCTCTAAGTTATGTACCCAGTGTGATAAATCTTCATCTTCTAAGGTCTGGAGTCATGTACCTCGAATTCTTCAGAATTGAAGCTTAAACTTTTGAATCTGTTAATCCAACCCATAATCCTTTGCTATACAAGGGAGTACTCATGATTTCCTCATGAGCAGAACCGGGGGAATCTCAGTTTGTTAGTAGCATAGCTGTTAGTCTGATTGACTCTTTCTCTTCTGTTTCTTACTCCCTTCATTCCCTTTTTTTCCTCTTGGGTTTCCTTTTCATGTTAGGGAAGAGCAACATAGTGATCAGGGGCAATCTAGGGAGTCCCTTTGTGTTGTCCTGCCTTTAGATACTAAGGCAGGTCTTGGGTACAGAAGACTTAGTCTCTGTGACAGTATTGAGCATTGTTCTTTTCCTCAGCCACCATGGTGGTTGCTAGCTGCCATGGGTGCCTTAAGGCTCCCCAGATGTGGGGTCAAGCACAGTCAGGGTTATTTTGCTTTTGTATAGTCACAGGTCTTCTTCACTGAGCTTGTAAGTAGTTCCAGTCTCAAACCAGCTAGAACTGGTAGACTACGTTTGTTACACAGTTTCCCTCCTATTCTGGTTGGAGATGAATGAGAGGATGATCTCAGATTTACATATCTAGGACCCTAGGTGCCAGTGGTAATAAATTATTATTTAAGAAATCACGGGTTAATTATTCTTTTGGACAAATAATTTGAAGAAAATATGCAAACCTGACATGAGGAAGAGTGTTAGTTCAATTTGATGTGTCTTTTCAAGTTTTAATAGAGAACTAATTAGTCATTTTTCTTTTTAGTACTGCTAGATAATTAACACCATTTACACTGAATTTGACTATTAACATTAGCCCCACTCAGTAGCAAGCCATTATATTGCCTTTGGTGAAATGTTCTCAGATGTTATTAGTCTGATGGTTCACTCTTTGCCTGCATGTGTAGTATAGTTTAAACCAGTGTTCAAGGAGGTCATATTAGCTTTAGAAAAATCTGTGTATTTTTTTATAAAAATATAATTGACACATAAAGTATTTATACAAAATTTCAGGGTCCAGTATATGTAATATAATATATAACAGTAAAATCAAGGTAATTAGCATTTGCATTACAAAAATGTATCATTTATATGTATTGAGAACCCTTTGAAAGTTGAAATGTTTCAGTAGAAATGATTCAGCATAAGTATACAATAAGTAATGATGGTATTGGAATTTCTGAAATATGTCATGTTTTTGTGTTGGGAACAGTTAGACTATTTTTATCTAGTAAGGACTTAAACCTACTGATTCCTCCTAACTTGTTGTATTTTGGTACCCATTATCCAGCCTGTCTTCATCCCATTGTTCTCTGTCCTTTCTCACATCTGATGACCACTGTTTCACTTTAATGAAATCCTCTTCTGTCCTGGCTTTAACTTTGGTACAGCCTAGAGACTTCTGAGAGGAGCAGCTTTAGAGAGAATTGCTTATGTCTGGTTGGCGTGTAGACATGCCTGTGAAGGATCGTCTCCATTCTTAGTTCACATAGGAGAGCCCAGCCCATTCCTTGGGCAAGTGTCCTGGACTATATACAAAATACCTAGTTAAGCATGAGCCTGTGGGTGAACCAGAGGGTGAGTCAGCGAGTAGTGTTCACTCATGGTTTCTGCTTCGAGTTCAGGCCTTCAGTTTTTGTGTTACTTCCCTCTGATTGACCCAGAAATGTAAAACCGATAAATCCTTTCTTCCCCTAGTTGCTTTTAGTCAGAGTGTTTTTTATCACAGCAACAGAAAGGAAACTAGAAAACACTTTAAAACTTCTTAACATGAATGAGAATGTGTGATATCTGTCTTCTGGCACCTGGCTTATAACACTGGGGCAGTATTTTGCTACATATATGTACCATATTTTCTTTACCTGTTCACTCCCTGATTCCACGTTTTGAGTACTGGACATAGTGCTGCAGTAGAGATGGACAGGCAGATCCCTCATTGGCACCAGGGCATTTTGTGCAAATGACTGCATGCTGCTGTGTAGGAGTGCCTGCTTTGCTGCATCTTTGCCAGAATTTACTCTGAGTTTGGATAGTGACCATTGTAACTGGAGCGAGCTCATCTCATTGATTAGTTTCCATTTTCTGATGATTGAGTATTCCATTGAGTATTTGTAGTGTATGGGCTCACCGTTTGTTTATCTTTCCTCTCTCTCTCTCTCTCTCTCTCTCTCTCTCTCTCTCTCTCTCTCTCTCTCTCTCTCT